ACAGGAAGCCCGAGGCAGAGTTGCTCTGCCCCGGGCTTCCTGGAATCAGCTGCTGATCAGTTTCAGCAGCAGCTGACTTGGGGACGCCTCGGGTTCTTAAGTTGAATCTGTATGTTCTTAAGTTGATCAGTTTCAGCAGCAGCTGAATCTGGATGCCAGTTCCGACTTACATACAGATTCAACTTAAGAACAAACCTACAGTCCCTATCTTGTACGTAACCCGGGGACTGCCTGTACAACAAAAAAATCAATTGAAGAAAATTGTGTGCCCCTTACGTACAGTTACAAGCAGCCCATATTGGTATTCCCACTCTAGCTAGCAAAACATACCTAGTCATTGTCAAATCAGGAAACAAACTGTCACCATCCTTTGGAGAAACAGAAATGCAAAACCACACACTAGCCAGAAAGGATTAAAGTCTATCAATGCTCACTCCAAATAATTACAGGAAATTGATTATTGAGGGATATACTCTCTTATCAGGTTATTCCTGATTATTTATCCACAGGAAGGCACCTCCCTTCCCCCAACCAAAATAACAACAACAAATCCTTAGAAAGTTGCTTCCAATATGTCATAGTAGACAATTCTAGCTTAGCCCCAATTGTGAACAGTACACTCTCTACAGATGAAGATTTTCATTTACTTTCTGAGACACCACTGGTAATCATGTAATTGGTAGCCAATATCAATGAGGATTACATAGAGCATTACCTGTATTAGAATATTCTGTAAATAACAACAACAAATCCTTAGAAAGTTGCTTCCAATATGTCATAGTAGACAATTCTAGCTTAGCCCCAATTGTGAACAGTACACTCTCTACAGATGAAGATTTTCATTTACTTTCTGAGACACCACTGGTAATCATGTAATTGGTAGCCAATATCAATGAGGATTACATAGAGCATTACCTGTATTAGAATATTCTGTACATGGTGCACCCAGTTAGAAAGGGAATCTGCAAGTTCTGTTACACTAATGACCTCAAAGTCAGGATTTTCTTCATATGTATCTCTTCCTGCTCCCCCCTCTTCCTCTTCATCTCCTTCCTCCTCTCCAAACTGGTAGAACCCCAGAGGGCTGATCTGGGTCCCTGCTGAGATCCGAGCGATTTGTGCACGTAGGTAATTAGCCTCATTCCCTGGGAAAGGTGGGTAGCTCACAATAGGAGCATCCAGCCTTCCAGTGAAGAACTTTTTGATTTTCCTAGCAGCCACAATTTGTGCTGGTGTCACTGGAGGTAACTTCACCCAGGGTTTACCTGGCTCATTACAGACAAAATAGATAAACTTATTGGTTCCAGTCCGGTTTTCTTCTTTTGGGACCGCCAGTGGGGGCTTATAGGTGGACTTTGGTGGCTCATCATCTTCTTTTTCCTCATCTTCTTCTTCGCCCTCACTCCCTTCTTTCCCTCCCTCTTCAATCACTTCTTCCTCTTCTGTCTCCTCCTCCTCTTCCCCTTCACGGTACTCCACTTCAGCCACAATATAATTCGTCTCCAGGCCCAAGATCTTGCCCCAGAAGCGGCATGTCTGGATTGGCTGCGTGCTGACGAGCTGCTTGAGGGCAAGTAATATGTGGTAGTTTTCATCCATGCTCAAGCCAACTCCAGCCTGTTCAAAATAGAAGGCTGTCTCCATCACATTGGGTAGAGGAGTATCTGTCTAGGGAAGAAGTTGTTGGAGTTAAAGCTGAGGTGTAAATAAAAGAAATTTTTAAAAGGTTACATGTATTACTCACTAAAATAATACTTAGCATTTCTATATTGTATTTGATCCTTTCAAAGTGCTTTATAAACAACTAAGCCTCACACCATCCCAGAAGAAAATAATAATACACCATTTTACAGAAGGAGAAACTGAAGCAGAGAGCTTAAACAATACACAGCTTTCAGGTAGCACAGTCTGGAAAAGAATAAAAATGTTCAAACTCCCAATGTTCTCTTTACTTCAAAACATTCAGGGTCACATTATTTATAGATAGACAGCATAAACAATCTATATAAGGGATCTGAGTGCTGGCACTCATATTCTAGCACATACATGCCACTAACTGGCTAGAAGGCCACTCGTGGCCAGGGACAGTGAGGCTGCACTTCCTGATGTGCAAAATAGGTGCAGTTTGGATGGACAGAACCTTTTTTTTACATATTCAGTCAATTTGGTTGGATTTCAAAAGCCTGAAAGAACCAGAGAAATTCACATAAAGACAGCAATCCCTCCCAGAAATTAGTGTCACTCTTTTGAATACTTGGATATAGAGATATTCTAAGCATGCATTATTTAAGATTGACTACATTAGATGTGGGTGTTTCAAAAAGCATTCACATTGGTGTACTTCTGATCACATTGAAATCAGTGGTAAAACTCCCATTGGCTTTAATGGGAACACATTTGGCCAACAACATACCTTTCTGAAAAGTCTCCCTATATGCCTTGCCATCTTTGCCCCTTTACAGGGGTGCTGGAATTACAGGTGATGCGGGTGCTGCAGCACCCTTGACTTGAAGTGGTTTCTATATATACAGGGTTTACACTACAGGTTGGTTCAATGGCTCTCAGCACCTCCACTATACAAATTGTTCTCCTGCCCCTTTACCATTTTGACAATCATTCCCAGCCCCTTATCTCAGATAGAGGAGCAAAAAATGTACGACTGGAAGTTCACTACTATAGGGTGAGTAGTTTAGTCCAAGTGACTTTTGGTTTATGTGGAATGTTTCTGGCACTTTCAAGCTTTAAACTATCAACTGATTGTGTGAGGGTATACACATTAAATTTCTTCTTCCAAAATACACTGCGGCTATGTCTAGACTGGCAAGTTTTTCCGCAAAATCATCTGCTTTTGCGGAAAAACTTGCCAGCTGTCTACACTGGCCGCTTGAATTTCTGGAAAAGCACTGACGATCTCATGTAAGATCGTCAGTGCTTTTCCGGAAATACTATGCTGCTCCCGTTCGAGCAAAAGTTTTTTTCCGAAAGACTTTTGCGCAAAAGGGCCAGTGTAGACAGCACAGTACTGTTTTCCGCAAAAAAGCCCCAATCGTGAAAATGGCGATCGGGGCTATTTTGCGGAAGACCGCGTCTAGATTGGCCACAGACGCTTTTCCGCAAAAAGTGCTTTTGCGGAAAAGCACCCTGCCAACCTAGACGTGCTTTTCCGAAAATGCTTTTAACGGAAATGTTTTCCGTTAAAAGCATTTTCGGAAAATCATGCCAGTGTAGACGTAGCCTGCTTGTGTGCACAAGAACATGTTGCCACTTTGTTCTTGGCTGTCACTGACCTGAAGATGACTGTTATAGCACGCACATGATGGCTTAATGTCTTTCCATCTTTAATATTCAGTTTCAGTGATTTACTTGTACATATAATGTTAGCTTGATAGAAAGGTCAAACCCAAACAACTGGTATCTACTTTCTACCTTTCACCACAGACCTCTATTAACACTATTTGAGAACTTAATATTCAGCATATACAAAGTAAGGGGACCCAAAAATACCTTATTGCTTTTATATAAAAAATATCTTTTCAGTTCTACATTTCAGTTCTTTAGGCCAAATGTCACCATCATTTTTTTATATATGGTACACTGACCAAAACTGGAACTGGGATTGAAGGGAGCTTTTTTGGTTTTTTTATGTAAGAAAATGCTGTAGTGCTTCTTTTTCATACCTCATTTCTAGAGGGACAAGAGGTAGAAACCCATTGAAGGGATCATTCAAGATTGTGAGGGGGTATATCAGTGAAGATTCGAATATACTGTAGGGGAAAATCCTAACTTGCCAGTGGATGGGCAAGATAACCTCATGCCTTTTCCATCTTTAACCTCTGTTTCTACGATAGTTACTCACTATTTCTTCTTCTGGCTCTTGATCTCCTCCCTCTCCTGTCCCCTTGAGGAACAGAGCCTTATATTTCTCTGCCAGTTCAAATGTTGGAAGCATTTCATGCTCATCACGGAGCGTGTCCATTTTTTTCTGGAACTGAGCCCATTTCACATCCTTACTAATATTCTCAATTATGTCTACTGCATTTATAGGGCGTTCATCCAAGATCTTGGTCAGCATGCGAGCAAGATGATCATATCTATCAAATCAAAAGAGAATGAAAACTCCCAGTAGACTATTACTGTCTAACTATATCAAATTCTCAGCACAGTATATTTTTCATATCAAAGGTAAATGCATATGTCCTGAGATAAGCTGCCATCACTATAGTAATTAGCTGTGATATTGAAAATCTCAATTGAGTGCTATGGAAACTAAGCCTGAGATATACCCCTGGAATATTCATAAGGAATAGCATGTTTGTAGTACAAATAATATATGTTCATCTTCCATTTATAACTTTGCCCACTATTTTCCCACAAACTGTTTGAAGCTGGATTTAAAACTCTTAAGCCTTATCTATACATACCTAGAAGTTCAAAGTAAGATATGCAGCTCCAGCTACATTAATTATGTAGCTGGAGTTAGCCTACCTTAATTCAACCTTTAGCACCATCTCTACAGAGAGAGCTCAATGGAAGCAAACACTCCCATCGACTTCTCTTACTCCTCATGAATCAAGGAGTGCCAGCTTTGACCAGGGGCACCCTCAGCATTCTATTCAGTGTGTCTTTACTAGATCCGCTAAATCAAACTCTGGAAGATTGACCACCACAGTGCCAGTCTTCCAGTAGTGAAAACATGGCCTTAATTGTGTCCATCTCCCTTTAATGCCTCTAAATTCCTTTTGGTAGGTCCGATCCTCAGTGCTGCTGAGAACCTATAAATGCCACAAAAGCATTAACCCTGATTCCTGCATATTTCCCCTTCTCTTTTCTATAGCTCCTTACCTCTTTGTCCTCTCCACATACACTATCTTACACCCTCTCCCCCCCATACCTCCTTTCCCAGGTAAAGTTTTCCCCCCCTTTTCATACTCACAAGTTCAGGCCAGACTTCGTGCTGCTCTTCATTAGATAGGCCTTTGCATTCTGGATTGCCAATGCTCTAGGTCCAGGATCAGATATTTCATTCTCACATGGGCTGTATCCTGGCTGATACAGGCCATAGCCTGGTTCATGTGGTTGGTAAGGGCCATGTTCAGGTGCAAAAGGCTCATAGGGACCAAGCATAGGTTCTTGTTGCCGATAAAGGCTTCCTCTTGGTTCCTGTGCCTGATAGGGAGTTTGTCCTGGTGCATGTGGCTGATAGATGCTTTGTCTGAGCTCTTGTCCCATTTGATGAGCTTCATAGGCAGATTGTCCTGGTTGGTGAAGCTGATAGGGAACTTGACCTGGTGTGGTAATCTGGCCTGGCTGGTGAGGTTGATAAGGAGTTTGTCCAGGTTCATATGATTCATATGGAAATTGGCCTGTTTGAGAGGGTTGGTAGAGGGCCTGTCTGGGCTGGTAGGGCCCCATAGCAGGGGGGGTTCCCTGGCCGGGCTCGCTGGGCTGGTAGGGCCCCATAGCAGGGGGGGTTCCCTGGCCGGGCTCGGTGGGCTGGTCTGGGCCCTGAGCAGGGGGGGTTCCCTGGTCGGGGCCCTGGCCGGATGGGGGACTCGGGTCTAGTTGTTCCGAGCTCGGCGCCTGAGCCTCAGGCGAGGGGTCTTCGGAGGGATCCGCCATGGCGCTGGCTGCCCGTCGGCGCTACCGGTCCCCCAGCACCTGTCTCCGAGCGTTGCCAAGGTAAACGCGAGTCAGTTGCTAGGCGGATTTGATTGGGTGCACGTGCGCCGCGTGACCCTCCAGGGCTCCTTCCGGGGGCGTGGCCGAGCTCCAGCGCGTGCGTGGTTGGCTGGCTGGCTGTCAGCGCGCAGGGGCGGGGCGGGGAGTTCCAGCGCGCGCTCAATCCTCCACTCCGCTCTGCGGGGTTCGCCCAGGTTGGGCTCGCTGCCCCAGAAGGGCGGGTGGTGCTGCGGTGCATCTTGATTTCACGCGGCACGGAGTATCTGCGGGGAAGGGGGAGGTCTTGATAATACAAAGCAAAAGCGGGCGCAGTGCTAGCCCTGAAAAGTTTGCGGACTAGTAATGCGTATGCAGGGCAGTGCATCCTCCACTCCGCTCTGCGGGGTTCGCCCAGGTTGGGCTCGCTGCCCCAGAAGGGCGGGTGGTGCTGCGGTGCATCTTGATTTCACGCGGCACGGAGTATCTGCGGGGAAGGGGGAGGTCTTGATAATACAAAGCAAAAGCGGGCGCAGTGCTAGCCCTGAAAAGTTTGCGGACTAGTAATGCGTATGCAGGGCAGTGCACATGCAAACAACATTCATTTGTGGCCTGTGTCCGAGCAATATTTTGATGCCTCCTTAGTCTTCCCTGCTCTTGTGCTGTATCCCGTCTCTTTGGTCCCTGTCAAGTTGTCCAGCCCAGTGTTTCCTAAAATGTGGGTTATGTGCATAAGAGACGGGTGCTGTGAAGAAGGGTGTGTGCAGGTAGGACCACCCATAGGAAAAGGGAGGGGCCATGCGGAGGCACCCCATTTAGTAATTACGATTTTGGCAGGGATACAGGGGAGTGGTGTTACCCCAAATCACCTATGCTTCTGAGAATTACAAAGGACTAGCCTCAGGACATGAAATGACCTCTCAATTTGTCTGCAGAGCCTCAGATTTAATTTTTAAAAATGGCCTGGGCTATATGACAAAGTGTCACAAATTTTAAATTGAGTTTTAAATTGATTTAAATTGGTATACATTTCTATTCAGATATTCTTATTTCATTTTGGAAGTGGCTTATTTCGCTTTATCTTAAATTGATTTAAAGATAACATGAAAAAAAGACTTGTTTAAACCAAAATAAGAGTGTGCAAAGGGGACCCTTCATCAAGTTAAGTAAATGGATTTAAAAGCACATCTTACATTAAACTAGTATAATATTCTCATGTAAAAAAAATCCTGAATCACTAGTAGAGACTTGAACTGCACCTTCATTTTAATAGTGCTAATGAAGGCATAGGTACCAACACGATACATCAAATATCAACAGCGTTAAGTGTTTCAGAGCTCATCTACGTACAAAGGGCAGGAAGAATATTTTGAAGCTCTACACTGGCATTTTCAAAGAGGTATTTCAAGCAAACACTCCAGCTGTGTCTAGACTGGCCAGTTTTTCCAGAAAATCAGCTGCTTTTCTGGAAAAACTTGCCAGCTGTCTACACTGGCTGCTTGAATTTCTGCAAAAGCACTGACTTCCTACTGTAAGAAATCAGTGCTTCTTGTGGAAATACTATTCTGCTCCCGTTCAGGCAAAAGTCCCTTTTGCTTTTGTACAAAAGGGTCAGTGTAGACAGCTCAGATTTGTTTTCCGCAAAAAAGCCTCGATCGCGAAAATGGCGATCGGGGCTTTTTTGCGGAAAAGCGTGTCTAGATTGGCACGGACGCTTTTCTGAAAAAAGTGCTTTTGCGGAAAAGTGTCCGTGCCAATCTAGACGCTCTGTTCCGAAATGCTTTTAACGGAAAACTTTTCCATTAAAAGCATTTGCGGAAAATCATGCCAGTCTAGACGTAGCCTCCCAGATTGTTAAAGAGGTTTGCACTGCATATTTTTGTTGGTATATGTCATTGAGGGGTGTGAAGAAGGTGGGTCCCTGCCTGATACAGTTGTTCTGGCAAAGCCCTCACAGTAGATGTAGTGATAGCAGCAAAATTGGAAGTTTTCTGAGAAAGCTTATGTTGCTCATGGTTATGGGAGTAGGAGTGAAATAAATGATACAAACAAAATCACAGTTTTGCCAGTTTAACTGTGCCCACACTAGGAGCACTTTGCCCGTATATCAACAGGTATCCTTTTCTTTTGCCTTTCATTGTCCATTACCATCCCCATGATACACTCAGGTATAAATTCCCAATACACATAGATATTATCATCTAGTGGAGGAGAGCCTTGGTTGGGAGGGCCCTTTAAGATTTCAGAGGGGTAGCTGTGCTAGTCTGAAACTTAAAAAAGCTTAAAAAAAACGAGTGGTCCTCTAGCACCTTAGTGACTAAGGGCATGTCTACACTAGCCCCCTAGTTCAAACTAGGGAGGCTAATGAGAGCGAAATTGCAAATGAAGCGCAGGATTTAAATATCACGCGCTTTATTAACATGTTCCCGGGCGGTCACCATTTTTGGAAATTGACTAGCCCAGAAGAACTGCCCGTGTCTACACGCAGCAGAGAAGGGCGATTCTGAAATAAACCCTTTACTTCGAATTACTAGTTAAACCTCAGAATGAGATGATAATACTATAAATATAAAATATAATTTTTTGTTAGTCTCTATGGTGCTACAGGATCACTCATTGTTTTTTTACATTTTTGTAAGATCTGTCAGAGCAGAGCTCTCTTTCTACATACTTTATATGCCAATCCAATTTAAAATTTGGGCTCTTGCTTAAAAAATCCCCAGGAAATTTGAGATACCCAAATGAGATATCTGACTCTCCACTAAAACCCAGGCTTCTTTTTTCTGTTGATTCAAGCTAGTATCCAAAAAGGATAGTGATCCAGGATAGTACATTAGTAGGCTTCTTGGCTTTGATTTTTATTTTATTTTATTTATTGCAGGAATTTATCAGTGTTTATTTCTACAACAACAAAAACTGTTGAAAATTAGCGGAGAAAACTATTAATTAATAATTTTTCTGATTAAACATCAGCATCTATTTTGGTGGACAGAAGGACTGGGGAAAAAGTATTCAGTAGATCAATGTTTTGATGAATGGAATTCAGAGTGGTTTGCTGCGAAACTAAAATAGAACTTAAAAACTCTGAATTTAATTATATTTCTAATTCAAAGATAAAACTTTTCACTTGAATAAATAGTTTACTGTTTAGACTTTAAAGGATTAGCTTAGAAATATTTATATTTAATAATCATGCCACACCATTTGCGACATATACAATTAAGTTAATCCTTTTCTCCTTTTTTAAAAAAAACTTTTGAATACTTTCTTGTGTTCTCTAACATATTCTGATATAGATTTTTATTTTCTTCCCATTTTAATGTCAGATCTTTAAAGTGTTATCTGCTAACAGCTTGAAATGTGTATATTGTGGGTATGAGATTCATCAGTACGTTCAGATGCACACACATTTCAGAGCTTGTGTGCATGGCTGTTTGTTTATTGTGTGCATCTTCTAGGGTATGTCTACAGTTCAAACTAGGGAGGCTAGTGTAGACATACCTCTAGAGATTAACCCATAGCCTTCCTTCAACAGGCAGTTTTGCATATACACACTGTCTGTCTGTCTGTCTGTCTATCTATCTATCTATCTATCTATCTATCTATCTATCTATCTATCTATCTATCTATCTATCTATCTATCTATCTATCTATTTTCCTAATAAAACAGTTTTTATATATTTGAATGATACAGAAGTAGTGTGAAAAGCAGGAAAAAATGACTTATGCTTTTGGTAAAACCAAGGATTTTTCTGAAAAAAAAAAGAAGTTTAAACTGAAAATAAAAGTCCTTACACTTTAGGGATGGAGGAATTGTACATTTTGCAGGAAAAGATTATTTTTTTCTGAAAACATGATTTTATGTACAGGCAGTCCCCGAGTTGCGCGGATCCGACTTATGTCGGATCCGCAGTTACGAACGGGGATTTTCTCGCCCCAGAGGACTGGAGCGGCGGGACGCCTGGTCCCGCTGCCCGCCTCCTCCGGGGCGAGAAAAGCTGCTCCCCGTCTCCCTGGTCTGCTGGGGGAGCCAGCAG